CCCCCCCCCCCCCTTTCCCCACACCACCCACCTTTCTTTAGACCATATAAGGAGACAAATATACTCATATCTACTTCTTTGTATGCCAATCGGATGATGGACGTTCATTTTTTTTTCTTTTTTTCATTTTCCCCAGTCTCGCCTTTCGTACCCTTTAAAACGGTGTTTTACAACCAGCAAAGAGTTCATCTGACTTTTCTATCAACGACGTCTGCAACGGTTTAAGTGTTTCTGAGACTGGAACAGCGTTTCAATGTGGAGAATGAAAACGATATGGAAACGACTGCGTGAACAGAACCCTTTTATTCATTTTCGGGGCTAACACGCAGAATTCAAATTTATCTAGATTATGACCCTCGTAGCCGGTGGTTTTCGTTGGAGAGCTCGTGTGACTTACTCTCTCAGTCTTTTTCGTGTCTTCTCAGCGAATGAAATTTTCTTTTCTTCGCTCAAATGAAAGCGCAGGACACACAAGCTGTCCAGATTACCTTGAAAGAGGCACTAATTATCTTTCAATCAGTTGTGGAATGAGATTAATAGCTTACCTTTTCTATTGGGTTTAACTCCTGGTTTGCCTTTTGCACATCTTTTCTTATTGCGGCCTCTACCACAAACTGAAAACAACGGACAGTATTAATGTAAAATAAAATACATTTTGCCGTAAAACGTGGCTGAAAGCGTAAGCTCCTACAGAACGGAAAACATCACTGTTCTAAGGAAAGAAATGCCAAAATAAAGAAGATTTTATCAAAGGGGACAAAAAAATTACATGTAGAGCGGAGGATTTGATAAAAGATTAGACTGTTCACAATACCCTACTTTTTCGTGACATCGTTTAGATATACCGCGTCTTACCGTCACGGGTATCTTGATTTTCAAATGTACCGAGGGGGCGGGCGTCGGGCATTATAGCAAGATAGCAGCCCGTAACACAAAGCGTTCGGTCTCAATGATCTTACGGAAAAAGAGGACTGTGAACAGTCTAATAAAAGATCAAAGCAATTCTCCCCTGGTGATCATTTTATCATTTCTCATAACCTATTCTTTTGATCATGTATTCGGAGAAAGTTGATGTTAGTCACTCTTAGGGCCTAAACGGTATCCTGGTTGCCAGAGACTTTTCATGCGCGGTTTTCCGGTTTAGTGACGCGCGCTTCGCCGCTCGTGGCTTCGGCTTAAAGGCCGAAGACGTGTCGACCTGCTCCCGACGCCAAAGCGTCTCCGCCGCACTCAATCGCCGAACGCAAGAAAAAACCCCTGGTACACAGGGTACCTCAATAAATAATTTTGATCTAATTTTTATACATTAACATTTCCTTTTCCCTTTTTAAAAAAATAATTGAAGTTTCGAATTCATTTCTAACAATTTGACGCGCCAAATTGCTAAACAGTGAAGATTTCCCTCAAAAATGACGAAACGGCGACAGATGTCTTGGTCTCAGTTTTAATCTGTTTGACTTGCCTTTCTTCTTTTCACATTGCTTTGACTCTTGATCCAGCTCAAAAGCTGCTTTGCATTCGAGACAATTGCCATCCACACAGTTGCGACAGCCTTTATCACACGCAGCTAAAACGGTAGGAAAAGAAAAAAAAAATAACGTCATATCAATGATCGACTGTCTGCAAGTATAGCAAGAGTTAGAATCTAAGGCCCAGCAAGGGCGGGGGAGCAAAGTGTGTACCTGACTGTCGTCTCTACACTAAAAAAAGCTGTACAAATCTGCCAAAAAGAGACCACAAAAATAAGCCACATTTAGAATGCTTCCTACTAGAAATGTCCTTCATATTTCTTCGCTTGCACAAATCACTTAAACAGTTAATTGAGATTTACAATCACCTTTATGGCAAAAAGTTAACGTCAGGTCTAAGATGAGTGTGACCATTTCTAAATGGTTATTGTGGATACAACTGGCATGAAACAACTTCCTCAGTATGGATAATGAACAGTGAAAGACAAGTAATGGAGAAACTTGGTCACATGATACCAATTGACGCTTGCTTTTTCGACTTGAACGTGATTCTGAACCACTCTAATATCTCCTAGCAACTTTTCGGGGGAGGCATGCAGGCTCATTACTAAGCCTCTCATTTTCCTAAGGGATAGAACACGGGCGCGCGTGACAACCGCCACCCGCGAGGAAGTTGACACGCAGGGAAAGGTTCACAAGCACTCAAGTATTTATCCCTGAGAAAAACTCGAAGTCTACTATTCAGGCTAGGAGGATGTCGGCATTTTACCTGGGCATTGCGATTCGTCAAGGACTGTAAACTTTGCCGCTTTCCTCTTGGAGTTTCTCATCTCACATCGAACGCAACGTGTAATGTTCTGACGCTTGGTATGTCTTACATGGGCGAATCCCTGGTTACACTGAGTACATTCGCCATCGACACAAAAGGCACAGTTTCTGCTACATGGAGCTTCGGTCGCACCAGTAACTGAAATCGGAACAAATTCATGAACATGTTGATTGGCTTTACTACAGTAGAGGCTCAGAGGAGCTCACACCTCAAAGCGCTGTTTAACTATACGAGTGCTCCGAAAAAGTAAACCTTTGTTATTCGCTAGATGGCGACAAAGGAATATAAAGTCTGTTTTTAGACTATTCAGTCGGTTCTCTACCGGCCCTAGAGTCGCGTTTGACTGCTCGCAAGAAATGACAAAAATACGGACTGTTTCGCAGTCTAATGCCATTGGTCAGTCAAAATTGAATTATTCAAATACTAGGCTTGACTTTTTACAGGTAAATCTGATCTTTTTCTCTCAAGCACGCAGAGATCACTATGTTTACTGACTTAGAAACACAAAGCCGGGAATTACAGCAGATTACAGACGCAGGAGTTTTGATATTCTGATTGTTATTGAAGAGCGTTTCTCCTCTGCTTCTCCTCTCTTTCGCTTCATTTGTTGAGGGTATTTTCACATTATTTTAAATTCCGTAACTAAAAATGAATGTTCCTTCTGACCTGGAGGGCATTTGGACTCGTCTCTATCGATCACTTGCAATTTTGCTTTCATCCTTCCTTTCTCAGTTTGATTACAAGGCTTGCAAACGGTAAAATTTTTATTAGCTTGTAATCGTCTTCGTGCCAAACTGTAGGTGATTCTAACAAAGCCATCATTGCACGTGGAACAGTTCTTGACAAGGCAGCCTGTAGACAGACAATATGATGTCTCTTTAAGAGAGTAAAAGACAGAGAGAGGAACAGAGAAAAATAGTGAAATAACAGTCCCATTTTCCCGCGTTTTTCGGGCGAGCGAAACACGAAGCGGGCGTGTAGGGCCTTCACCCATCGTGCGCGTGTCTCGCGCCCTCGCTCGCTTCTTTCGCATGAAAAACGCGAAAAAAACAACGCTTGTTCTCATGCAGGCTGGCGCCGTGGCGGCTACACAGCTCAGGATAATGATCACGCCGACGAAAAATAATAAAAACCATGGTTTTGCCAGATGCTTCACTAAAAACAAATGTTATCCTGTAAAAGTGATTTTGCATCTGTGGCAGTTGGCAAAGGCAAAGGTCGTTCTCAAAGAGGAGACTAAAAGACAAATCGCCTTTTGTATAATCATTGTTATTGCGCAGTTTTGTTTGGTTGACAGATGACTTCAAAAGCACGATCATCATATATGGACGTATTTCTCTGTTTTGCATAAGATCTATTTGAATTTTCCTCTACTTAAGTGCATTGAAACTCTCTAAAATTGAAGTAAGTTCAACAGTACTTATGGAAACAGTTCCCCCATTTAATAATACCTGACAACTACCGGTATCGGCCGGTTTTTGGCGCTTAAAATGTAGGGCATCTAGCAAAGAAGTTACAAGCCCTGCATTTCAAAAGACTATCAAAATCTCTGGGAAGTAAAAGAGAGCTGTTTACCATAAACACAACCAAAGAAAATACACCCAATGTAGTGCCTTTTACCTAGTTTCCTAAGCTTGCCGATCGCTCCTTTTCCAGACTTAGGATCTTTTCCCTTGCCAGGCCCGGTTCTTCTACATTCAACGGTGACAAACAAAACCACAGCAAAAAACAGCAAAGCCAATAAAATAGTCTTCATTTCGCTGGTTTTCTCGGTTCTTCAATGTCCACAGTGCAACTGTTAGATACCGACTTCAACGACGCAGACAGAGCGAACGTAACTTTCCAACCTTTTGATCTACTGTTACCTGTCAAACCGGTTTTGTCTAGTGCTACATGTGATGCGGGCGTTTCATTGTTACGGACCTGAGACAATAGAAACTAGATACTTCTAACGGAAACAGTCATCACGTCTACAGGGATTATCCATGTTGTCAATCAATCTATTTACTTTTTTAAAAAAAAAAAGATAAGAGCCAGAGTTTGTGTTTATTTTCCACTCAAATTTTTTACTTTATCAAAAATGAAGAAGGGCAAAATTCGTGTGCAATGTCGGGTCAGTCAGTTTTTGACAAATGTTGTGTGGACAATCTTTGTTATATAAAGCTTGGAAAAATCTTTTTCTTATTTCACCTGGAATTTCACACATTCTGATAAAATGTGAAGGTTAATGATAGCCACTCCCTTTACATCCGATGGTCGTGAAGAGTAAAAGTTTTTCATACAAAAACCGATTCATCATGGGATTAAAAAAAAAAACCGGCGCAAAGATTTTGCCTAATCAGACATTCTTTGGTTCTTATGACCTCTCATACACCGGTCCTAACACCTCCTCTATTATATAAATTCCTTCCTGTGGTTTAAACGCAAGAGTCGCAAGGCATGCTAAAGTTCATCTTATCTTTCGTACGTGCAGAAAAATTAGTTCACTTTATTTAGAAAAAAACAAACACATTTCGCATCATAAGAGCTTTTAAAACAGCCTCTTTATGCGCTCTTTTTCTATGCTTTAATACTATTTCCAACTCTAAGTTGACTGATCTCTATTCCTAGACAAATACCGTATATAAAGCGCTTTTGTATAAATCAGGAGCCGATTGTCCAAGTACTGACTCAGCAAACTCAGGACTCTTGACCCCGGGCCCTTGACCTTCTCTCTTCCCAAGAAAGGAAACGTGAGTTGAATTCGGCTATTTCAAAAAATTCTCGCCTCTCCTAGTGTGGTAAACGATGACTGTTTACGACGTTTCAGTTCCTAAATTTGGATCACATTATAAACACTAAAAACACCCCCCTTCGCCTGATCCACGAAAGTAGACCTGGGCATAAACGTAGAGCTCACTGTCTGCAGGGGTTCTGACAACCAGAAGTCCATTTGTGGGAGCCGAGAGAAGTCACGGACCGGTTGTGGATTTGAAAACATTATAGATCACCTTCCTGACGTTTTCAGGGAAATGTAAGCTCCGCTATGTTTGAGAACTTACCACAACAGCTGGTTTAAGCCTTTAACAGGGGGGGGGGG